ATGTATAAAAATTACTATATGTTGTATATTATACTAAAATTTTCAATATTTATAAATTTTTATCAACTAAATTTTTAGGCAAGTATAAAATTAAGAATTTTATCTTTTTTTGCCTATGCGGTACATCGCACCCTATAAGATCTGGTGTAACATGAAAATCAAAACAATAAATTAGTTCGTTAGTTTAGGATCAAGATTGAGCTTGAGTTAGGTTGGGAGGGACACGGAAATTATGCGATTCGTTTTAGTGCGATTCTTGACAAACTACACCAAATCGCATAATTATTAATTATTTCATATACATATTAATTTTTATGTAACTGATAGCTCTCAATGAACCTAAATCACATCAAATCACACTAAATCACATAAATTCTGTGTCCTTGGGGCTGGGGTAGGGAGTTGATTGAAGGTTCTCACCCAAAAATTGGCGAGAGATTTTTTGTTAGAACGCAAGAGGTAGGTCTATAAGCAAAATTTTGTGTTACCGCTGGTTATCTGAAAAAATTTGCTATCGCTTCAATTTCATGTTACACTTAATTCTGCATTATAATTTTTGATCAAGGGTGGTGATACATCACTATGGCTATAAATTATATCCTAAAATAAATTTATAAATAATATAAATTCTATAAATTAAATAATCTTAATTAAAATTTTAATAATACTATAATCTTTTCTTTTCAAACAATTATTAGGCTGTAAGTATAAAATGAAATTTTAAATTATGCAAAGTTATATACTATTTTATAAATTAAATAAACTTATATTAATTAAATTAATTAAATTATTAGGCTGTAAGTAAAACATTAATTTAAAATAATTTTACTATTATCTTAATTTTATAATTATCTAATTTTTATAAATTGTTAGGTCGTAAGTTCAGAATTATAAACTGAAATAATTTATAATTTAAATTCCTAGTAATGTTCGACTAAATTTTACTTTTTGTTTTAATTCTTTACAAACTAAATTATTAGCAAGTATGTATAAAAATTAATTTAATATTATATAAAATCTTACAATATTTAATAAATTTAATATTTTTTTATCTAACTACTTACTGTAAATTATTAGGCAGTATGTATAATATTAATTTAAAATCACTTTTATAATTTTAATATTATAACTAATTATTAAATTATTAATTACTACAAATTATTAGTATGTATGTAAAATATTAATTTAATATAATTTTTATAATCTTAATATTCTTTAACTGATTGCTTAATTGATATAAATTATAGCGGGCAAGTACAATACTAATTTAATAACTTTTAATTATAATACCTAATTATAAAATTAATAATACGTTTTTAATTAATTATATACAAACTAAATTATTAGATTGTAAGTATAAAATTAATTTTAAAGAATATAATATTTTAATTAAGGATGTTAATTATAAGATATTGTTCATATTATATTACTATGTGAAATAAATTTTGCATAAATGATGTTATTTTATGACAAAAGTATCAAGGCAAAAAATTTTTACGTGATCATATCACATGAACAATAACAATCTGATCTAGTTCAATCTGGTCTATTTCGGTCTAGCCTTTGGTCTAGTTTCTAATAATTTATAATCTTAAACATTGACCAGTTCAAAATAGTCCAAACCGGTCTGGTCTTAAGACTAAAAGCAGACCAATTTTTTTAAACTTTAGCACTCTTAAAACTGACTTTAGTCTATCAGATTAGACCGGACCACGTAACATCCCTAATTTTAATAATTATATAAACTTATAAATTATAAATCAAATAATCTTTCTAATTAATTTTCAAACCAAATTATTAGGCAGTATGTACAGAATTAATTTAATAATCAAGATTTTATAATAATTTATTAAACTTTTTAATTAATTATATACAAACTAAATTATTAGAGGGTATGTATAAAATTAATTTATAAAACTATTAAATTAAATAATTTATAATTAAAGTTACTAACAATATACATTTAAATAATATTTTCTAAATGATATACAATCAAAATTAGCTTACAGTATGTATAAAATTAATTTATAAATTAAGATTTTATTAATAATTATTAATTAATAAACTTTTTTTTAATTAATAATATTTAAATTAATATTAGATTGTATGTAAAAATTACATCATATAAAATTGAAATATTAAATGTTGCGGATTATTGTAAAATCAGATCATCATGAAATTTGGGGTCTCAATTTGAAAATATAAACCCTACCAAAATCTACCTATACTCTTTATTATTAATTCAAATCCAAATCTGTAAACAAGAAGCTGACAAAAAAGGCCAAAATTTTGAAAAATTGTACATAAAATAGATCCTAATTTCACGATAATTCACGACATTAAATTTGATTATACTCTAATATTTACAAATTAATTATTATAAACTATTAGGCTGTAAGTAGAGCACCTATACAGCCCTAAAAATTTGAACTTTGCCAGCCTGCAATTTACTATGTTTTTTAAAAGTTTGACCCGCAATTTACTATGTTCTTGACACACCAGGCCCGTATTTAAATACGATCTAGCCAGTGTAGGCTTCCAGCCGTAAGTATAAAATTAATTAAAAATAAATTTATCAGAGTCTTAATATATATTTTTATTATTTATAATTTAATAATCTTGTCTAATTATTTATATTTAAATTATTAGACCCAATAGGAAGAGCTTTACATAATCAAATACATTAATCTCTTAAACCATATAAAATTTAGACAATTTGTCCTAAATTTTATTATAAAAGTATATTTGATCTATGTTTTTAAAAATTAATATTTTTAGATAAATGTTTTTTTGATAAGATTTGAAAATAAGGATTATATTTTTTTAGATTTATATCAGTCACAGGACATTTCCTACAATCTACATTTAAATAAAAATAAAGAAATTTTAAATTTTATTTTTTTTGTTTTACCGATATTGCAATTGCAATATCTGTTTTCTATTTAATTTGAATAATTTTGCATATTGTTGCTGATTTAGTATATTTTTACAGTTTTTTTAGCCTTTTTTTCCTACTTTTACAATGTATCTAAAATGATTAAAAAAAAGTGTTTTTAATAAGATCATTTTGCTATAAGTTGTTTTTTTATTTATAAATAAATGTAATTGTGAAAAAATTGATATAGCATTATTTTCTTTTTTGACTAGGGCTTGGTTTATTGGTTTTTGAATATTTGAATAAGTTTTAAAGGTATTTTACTCTAATATGATTTAGTGTCTTACAAAACTTTAAAGTAACCGTTATGTTTTTTGACCAAAGCATGATTTGTCTGAAAGAGAATTACCATAAAAAAAGTTATTATGGGTTAGAAGATATCTGTAAATTGTTTTTTTTTTATCTCTAGCTTGAATTGTGCAAAATATATCTGCAAAAAAGAAGAGAATTATTCAATTAGTTAAAACTTTGACTTTAATGATATTATAGATAATCAAAGTATTATTACTTGTATAAGTTAATCTTGTCTATTACCATATAGTCGCAAAATAATGCTGTTTGAAAATGGGATTCTTTAAAAACAATGATATCATACTGACATAATAGGCCTGTGTTATTTCACTGAGTGTCAATTAATCGACAAGTTTATTTCATTGGCAGCCATTTTACCACAAAGTAATTCTGGTCATTGTCATTAGGGTCAGATTTAGAATTAGAGTTAAGGTTAGTGTAATATTTAAAAAAAACTGTCAGTGAAATAAACTTAATGGTTACTTGATTTTCGGTAAAATAACAGATCTATTTCTGTCTCGAGGTAAGAACGTCCCAAATATGGGGGACGTCTAAAGCGGAGATAAATTATATAATTAGTATTTTTAAATTAGCTTTAGGGTTAGGGTCGTCTTAGGTTAGGGATTAGGTTAGGTTTTAGGTAGTTAGATATATATGTAAAATTGCCTTCCCGACATTTTTGCTTAACCTACTCAAGGCACGTTTTGACTGCCGTTTTTTATATTTATTAGGTTTTTTATTTTTCTTTTCTTATATTGCTTCGCCGGCGATCATCAAAATTCTCTAATTTGATTGGTTGATAGTCACATGATTTATCTCCGCTTTAGACGACCTCATATTTGGGACGTTCTTACCTCGAATTCTGTCCTTTTTGAGCGTATACGCACTTGCATTGAATAAGCCACCAAGCCACAATCAACTGCCATTTTAGTATACTCGATTAAAATATTTACACGATACAAAGAAAAGTCGGTTACCGCTATGAAAATGGAATTGGGAAGAACTATATACATAAAAATAAAAAGATAAAAACTATAATAATATGTTTATATAAAAATAAAAAGATAAAAACTATAATAATATGTTTATATAAAGATAAAATATAATATAATAAAAAAAAGTAAAATTTTATTCTTTGCAATATTATTATATAAACTAATAATAATATTTCAGCCAAGTTATTCTTAATGTTCTATATAAATTTTGAATATATTCATTTTTTATCCTTTACTCAAATTATTTAATGCGTTAGCCCTATTTTCCATCATTTTAGTCAACCATTTACGTTTCAGTTGCGCTATTAGCGCTTTGTGCATTCTCTTGATTCTTTTCCTTTACCTTCGCAAAACGGCTTAAATAAGGCGAAAATGCACTAAATCTAATAAAGAAAATTTTATTAATTGCGCTAGAAAGTATTGAGAGTCCTGATGATACTAAGGTAAATGTTGGAATGGGGTCGAGTAGGACGCTAGAAGTAATGAATAAAATCTAATAAACTTCATATTGTTAGCAACAATTATATATATCATTTATTAATTTTTATTTATTTTAAACATACCTGAATAACAAATTGCGGTATATTTGACAAAAATATGTCAGCGCATGCTCCCCAAAAGATTATTGTTAATGACCTCTTGTTAATGGCGCATTGAACATATTAAATCCCGCCAAACACGATTTTAACAATAACATTACATCAATATTTGTGCCAGATAATAATGCGATTATAACAGCAACTCTTCCATGTTTAGCAAACCATTTGACATATTCACTCTCATAATTCTCCTTTATCATCCTCTTTAATATCCTTCTGATAACCCTTTTCATTACCATTCTCATCGCCATTTTCATTATCTTTCTTATCTCCCTTATCATTATTCTTCTCTCCATCCTTCTTATTATCATTATCACCATTCTGGCTCTGATCAGAAAATAATATCCCAAATTCCATAAATAAGTTGATTACAGTGGGAATAATTAAAAATGCTACACTAATTATATGAAAAGATAAATTTAATGATAGATGATTATCCAATATTATTTGAGTAATATATAATCTTACTTCGGTATAAAAAGATATAGGATGGTTTTGGAATCAATAATAACAAATGCTGTGAAGGTGCCAAAACGAAATAATGCAATACCAAGTTGAAGAATAATAAAGCTTTTGCACTATATATTTTGTTTATATTAGACATGAAGAAAAAGTAGCTAAAAATTAAATTATTTTAACTAAAGAAAATTATCACCTCTTCGTACTTAGGTTCTTCTGTTTCTTCAGCTTTCTTTTTGGCACTAGCTTTAGCACGTTTAGATATTCCCAAGGCTTCTAAGCATGCTAACATAAAATAGCTATGACTAAAAACAATACAATGAACTTTGTTCTGTGTACGTTAAAGTATTCTGATGCACTCGCTATTTAAAAGAGGTAGATAAAATCAATTATTTAAACTACAATAAATAAATCATAAATAATATATAGTTCCTTACTAGTTCGGTGATATCCATAAGTTTCATCTAGATTAACTGTAGTAGATCCTGTTAAAATATTCGTATATACTTTATTTATTATTAACAGGTCTAAATTTTCCTATATGTATGTAGTAGTTATTTTGTCATCATCATTTTTTGTCTCACTAATAAGAAGCGGGATAATAACTTTCAGACGAATCGGATGTATCAAATTGATAATGCTCAATTGTTCTCAATCTTCCTTTCTTTGTGGGAATCCTTTCTGTAAGTTATTTTATCAAAGTATCGAAAAAGTTATGTTTTTCATTGCCGCTCAACTTTAGAAAAGTGTTAGTTCCATTGATTGTTAGTCGCAATGTTCCATAGATGTCACCTAATTTAGGGTGTTCTCAAGCACCTCGCTCAATGGATCGGAGGCAAAATTTTAATTAGTCGGAAATTGAATAAATTAACCAAG